TGTAGAAGATTGGCACTGGGAGGTAAAGGGAAGCTTTGACATGGAGAATGGTTGAGTCAGTCAGAGAGAGCAAATAGACAATAGCTGAGGAGGAGAAAATAAAAGTAGTGTGCCTTTGAAGAATAAATGAATGTCTTCCTTTTTATTGTCTTGGCAGGGGATGATGATCTTGGCTAATTAACTGTTGTTTTGATTGTTCATAGGACTGAGTTTTTAAACAAAAAAGATGAAATGACAGAGCAAGGGAGGTATTAATGTAAAAAGGACTATTTGGTCGAATCCTCTGACTTTTAAGAGGTGACATTCAACAAGGTTACAAAAAGAGGACATAATATAGAAAATATCTCTATGCTTGACAGCATTTTTAGGTGTTTGAAATGACTACCAACTTAAAGCCTGTAGAAAAAAACTCAACCTTGGCACTTTGTTTAGGGCCACCTTGGCTTTCCTCCGCGACTAATGTCTACAACCATGGAAGGAGAACAAGACTGACCAATAAGCAGTGTGTCTACATTTTAACATTGCATTGAACTGTGGTGAAAAAAAGAAATAAATATACCATCCAATAATATTGTGATACATATAATTGTTAAAAATACTGTGATCTAAAAAGTTGGTCATACCGCTCAGCACTGTAACCACATAAAAAAAAATCTAAAGTTAAATTGTATTTTGTTTTTTTCCTAGTAGGCATTTGAAGTTTTCATTTTACCAGTTCTAATTAATCAGTTTTAACAGTGTTTTGTCATAAACATTTATAAACAGCAGTTTTTAAGGATGGCCTCATTCACTGGTCACCTAATAAAATAGATGCAGATAATGGTCTGTAAAGAGAATACATCTGTGGACAAAATTGCCTTGTAGCTGTCAGAAGTCAGAGGAGATGGGCAGACTGGTTTGAAATGACAGAAAGGGACCAGTAGCTAAAATAACCACAAGGTATGCATAACACAGTCTCAAAACGCACGACACGTCCAACCTTGAAGCAGATGGGCTACAGCAGCACAAGAGCACACCGGGTGCACACACACTCCTGTCAGCTAGGAACAGAAAACTGAGGCTGAWWTTTGAACAGGCTCACCAAAAAGTGGATAATAAGAAATTGGAAAAAAAAACTTGGCCTGATCTGATGATACTCAGCCTCAACAGTCATCAGATCTCAATCCAGTCAGCCAYCTTTGAGATGTGGTGGAGAAAGAGATTCACATCATGGATGGGAAGCTGACAAAACTGCAGCAACCGCATGATGATACTGTGTCAATATGACAGAAAATCTATGAGAAGTATTTCCAACATCTTATTTGAATTTATGTTATGATGAATTAAGGCAGATCTGAAGGCCAAACAGTGTTCAACCCAGTACATCCAGTGTGTACCAAATAGTCACTGGTGACTGCATATGCATCATTTTTAACATTTTAACATATTTTAACAAAGACCAGGCAAATAAGTTATAACAAGATTGTGTATAATAAAAAAAGAGATCACCATTACATGTCTGTGGCCAATTAGAAGTAAGGGAAATGGATTGTTTTTTTAATAATAAATTACCAGTTACTGTATTTATTCGTGTATAATACGATCTCATGTATATCACGACCCCCACTTTTTTAAGCTTAAAAAAGGATAAAAAAAATTTAATCCTCAAACTACCTCCAATTTCATACAGACTTCAAAGATTTTTCAGCCTTTGCAGTCTTTATATGTACATATCAGCAAAATGATCATTGGACTGTTCATTTTATTTTAACAACATATATACTAAAAGGTATTTTGACAACAAATATATATCAGCTGTAGCAACATCATATGAATTCTGGCATTTTACACATAGTCCACCAGGAKGCGCCAACACAAAAGTCAGAGACTTCACATAAGATTTGGGCCATCTTGTGGGGAGAAAAGCAGATTACTTCTTATTCGCGAGTGCCCCCTCTGGTGGGGAAACTTTTTTCAGGGATMCAAACTTTTTCAGAACACCGGTAGAAGGCAGCCATTACAGATGAACATGTGTTTGTTGTTGTTCAAGGAGCAGCCCGGTCACACGCTAATATCATTAGTTTGTTATCATTATTAAGGTGCAGGACTGCTTTTTTCACCCTTTTTTTTCTCCACATCATGTTGCCTGCCTGGAACTGTTACTATCTCGCTCTGAAGCACGAAGTAGTGTCAGAGGTAAGCTCGTTTCGACTGCTTTTTATGACGCGGTCTCATTTTCGGACTCAGGGATTTTGTGGATGAAGCAGATATTTCAAGTAAAATACATAAGTAGCAATATTTATCCGAGTATAGTACTACCCCCCAACTTTATGGATGATTTTATGGATCTAATTTTACGTATTATACTTGAATAAATACAGTAAGTATTTTTCTATTAGTGTTGTAAGTGCAAGTAAGAGCTCTCAGGCTGTATGCTCTCATAAATAATGTGTTTCTAAAGTTATTAAGCATTACTTATTGCCTAAACTCAAATCTGCCTGGCAACAAACTTAAAATGGCTTTAGTTAATAAGCCTATTATATTATATTTTCGTAGTATCTTGAGTTATCTCAACAATTTCATTAAGATCTTAGGATTTTATGTCAAATTGTGGGAAAAAAGCCATATCCGTTATTTTTATAGCATCAACCACAATTTTGGTTTTAAAACTAATTTAAAATTAATTATTAATGTCTTTTGTCTTATCTCCTATCACTCACATCCTGTCGTCAACCTAATCTTCACCCTTCGCATACTTCCTGTTGTCCAACTTTCATCTTCACAAGAGAAATCTCCGTACAGTAGTGGAACAAAAATTCCTGGTAAGCCTGCATACCAGTGCAGGCTAAACCCAGGTGCATTGAAACAAAAGCATTTAAAGCCCTGATGCAATATTGATGGTAGAAATAATGTGTCTGAATGCTGGCTATGAATATTTTATGGATGTATGCACTCTCCCAAACACACATGCTCACACACATAGGAACACATGCGTACACCATATCTGATTGCGGTTTCGGTAAAACAGTGCAAGAATCTTATATTTAGATGGGTACAGTGGCCTTACACCACACCAGGATGCAGTTCTTGTACACTGATACTGGTAGGTAGTTCCTCAAATTGCATGGTATTGGAAACAACCCACAAATATATAAAATAACATAAATTCTTTATTAGACTCCACTCAACAGTATAATTACCATCTCTAGTTGTACCTTTTGAAAATGACCTGAAAATGTTCTGTTTCTAATATCTCTGATATAGTTATAGTGCAATATTTCTATAGGCTAAACTCTTTGTGTTTGATTTTAAACCAATAAAGAATTTATTAGAGTGGCTGTTTAACTGAGCAGGAATGCAGACACTCTGAGATAAGGTCAATGTTCGGACTCAGAAGTCTGACATGCAATTATACAGCACAGGCCAAAATGGGCTGCTCGACTACATACTGAAATAATGGGCAGAAGTTTCACAACAGCTAACCTTTGAGTGTTAGAGTTGGACTCTCAAGCACAGGCATTCACACCCAAGAAAAGAAGTCTGATAGAAAAATGAAACATGACCAAATTAGACTGAAAAATACAGTGACAGGATCAAGAAACAAACAAAAACAAGAATGTTTTGGGAAAAATAGCACAAAAAAGAAAGGTGGTGAATTAATAAGACATGAGGTGCAAAGTGGAGGAAAAGTGTCTTGAAAAGTAAAAGAGAAAAACTGGTACAGTAAATATGTGTTACGATGAGGGATAAGAAACAAGTTGGTGTAAGAGTTCTTTTTACCCTCATCCCACCTTCTCTCTCATCCTTTGCTGGGTTGTTCTGCTCTGATGCCTCACAGAGAAGCAGCAGAGGCAAATCTGCTCTCTGCACCCGCTCCTTTCTACGAATTAGTTGAGGCTACACATAAATAAACTCGCAGCTCAGAAGCTTTTACTTCACTCCTACCAGAGCAAAATATGCAAAGCCAGATCTCTGGAGTTCATTTATGGCCCTACAGCCAAACAGATGGAATCGTGCCTAATCGAAGCTCCACAAATCCTCAAAATCCCAAGAATTTTTTCGAAGCAATATTGCATAGGACAAAATGAAGCACTACTTTCTATTACCCATCTTTAAAAGCAAAASTTAAATGCCAAAACACTCTAATAAAATAAAAATTAGTTTCACTGCAACTGCTCTACTTCTGTTAGGAGTTTATCAAGTTTAAATTGCTTCCACTTCTTTTATTTTTTATGTGAACATATGCATTGAGTTTTTAATAACTAAATATCTGTTGGGAATTTTAAATAAAAAAAAACTATAAGGATAAACGCTTTCCTAGTAATTAAGGTGTAAAACTCTACACTTGACTGAATTTATTTTGCCTTGAATGAAGCATTAAATAGCAGGCYAGATGCTAGGTTAATGCCTTTTTCCCAACCAAATAAAAAGTCGTTTTATTCATGAAGAATAGGGCAGAAAATGATTCAGAAAGAAGGGGAAGAAAAAGGGAATGGACAAGAACAGTGCGTTTCTTCATCAGGGAGTGCTAATAGATCACCACTCTACACCCAGGAAATTATCTCAGCATTGTGCCCTCCTTTCTAAGACATGATTAATTGATTGCAGGAGAGCAGGAGGAGAGGACGACAGCAAATAGGGAGGAAGGGAAAATGTGCTGATGTGCTTCGGAAGAGAGGTAAATTGGAAACAGTAGGGATCAGAAAGACTGATGCTGACCTTTTTGACTATTAATGAAAGCGAGGAATGGTCACATTAAGAAAAAGTCTTCGAATTAAAAAAAAAATACAAAAAGATGGACAGTAGCGCACCTTGTTACTAACTGTCATGAACATGGAGCCAAGAACAAAAAAAAGCTGAAGTGAGCAGATTGTTGGTGGTWAGGTTGCATACCAAAAGTCTCCCATTTAATTTCAAGATCACCAAACTTCTTTCAGCAAAACCACGAAAAGAACCCCATTACAGAGGAAGATTATGTGTGTGTATGTGAGTATGTATGTATGTGTGTACATGAGTCTAACCATGCTTGCATCTCTTGTTCGGCTTTAGCCCTCTCTTGCTCCAAGCCTTTTCTCAGCTCATCAGCGATCTTCTTCCTCAGGGCCTCGTCATCCACTAAAAGACAAAAAAAAAGCGAAAATGAAATATAGTTACAGCATGTGGAAATAGCAAAAAAACAAGGATGGCGGAGTACAAGGCCATTTACTAGATTTTACAACCAACTAAGCTAATGAAAAATGTGTCTCCATCAAATGCTTTATTTAAATATTTGCCCCCAAAGAAACCTTTTTCACTCAAAAAGTGTGCATTTTTCATATCTACAGCATCGTATTAGAAAAGCAAACAAAACTGAAACAGTTTATAATGTGTGCCATAAAACAACTTTTGAGTTTCAAAATTCAGCAAAAACCTTTTTAGGACATAAAAGCCATCTTTCCAAGTAAGACTAAATTGTTCTCGCACAAAACGGAAGTCAGGTTTTGCTTCCTAAGTTCATAACCTTATTTGGGTTATCGTGATCCAAAACTGTTTTTATGGCCGTGTTTTGGTTTTCCATAGTTTGTCTTAACTGGGTTAGTTGAGAATATTAGTGTTAAAGGAAAACTATCAAAATAATTGCTTCAAAATGGCAAAAATATTCATTTAACGTAAATTTTCTTAAAATTGTTAAGTAGTGTATACCTTTTTACTTTACACCTGAAACTTGCACAGATAATTAACAAGTAGCTTTATAATACCGTTATAGCATGTCCATTTTTCAGACAACTTCATCTTGTTTTGTGTAAAAGTGTTTAGAAGTTGGTAAATAATTCCACAATGACAGTAGTGTATGGGATTTTTCCATCAGAAGAAAACTGAAAAATACAAACACTGATGTGGTTTGCTTAGAGAATATCCTGCGTATTATGAACAGACACATAAAATGACATAATACATATTCCCCGTTCCTAAAAATCACAATTCAATACCGCCCTGTCTCCATATATCACGTCATTGACGACATACGCGTATGACTCCGTGTCCTCACTGGTCTATCTTGGCARGTAATTAAGCATGAAAGTAAAGATGCCGGCCGGCGACCAGCCCAAAAACGTGCTCTGAAGACAGAAGTGGCATGCGGTCTGCTGCAACGCTGCAGATGATGAAGGGGGGAAAGTGTGTCAAGATTAGTCTCCCACTGCATTAGTTAGATAGGATAATCCCTATTGTCAGAGTCTATTATTACCTGGTAACATGTGGTAACAGCAGGCCACAGAAACCTCATTACACTTAAATCAGATTAACACGAAGAGAAAACAGAACAACCAGAACTATGCAAAGTCATTTTATGGAATCAACAAAAAACTCCAAGAGTACTGACGTGCTCAGGCACTAAATTTAGGCACAGGATTAGTGTGTATTTTTAAAGTACTTTTAGTACACAGTTCATTCTGATCTCACAAACTCCAAACCTAAACATGTGCTGAAAGTCAGAGCGAATGTTCTGCACCTTTCAACATATTAACTTTCCGTATCAAATGCTTTTAGAAAATACTGCCAATAATAACATGCCAAGATACCATCAGAAGTGTTCTGATCGTTTCTCTGATGTCTACAATTTAAATACTTTTTTTGCCTGCAAATTCCACCAAATAACTGTCATGAGATTTGACAAGTATTCTGAAACTAGAGGTTTAGAATCTCCAGAACACAGATACTGTCAGATCACTACTTTTTAGCGGTAGAGTACGTCCTCAGAGACATAGGCCGCTGACACCTGCTGTTCAGAGCGCGAGAAAATAATATCCATCATGTTTGACTGCAATCACAAGCACCATTGATCTCACTGCTGAGGAGAGTCTAATTATGAGCGTGTTTGGAGAGAAGAGACAACCTGTAGGTCTGAAATCCTGACAGAGGTTCTGCAGCAGGGAYTTATGTCACACCACAGCTAATAAAATCAAAAATGGTAATTATGAAACTACAAAAGGATATGAATGCTCCATTTTTTAAAAGACACCAGAAATGTCCATGGGATTTTATAAAGTAGATTCCTTGTGTTGGTTCATAACAGGCGATGATACTATGACTCTAAAAACAAAATACAAAAAATATTTTATTTGATGATTGTGTCAACAAAATTACTCTCTTACCTCAGTACTTGAAGTTGCAGTGTTAATCTCAGTTTGACATACGGGTAATTTAGAGACGTCAACATAATAACAGGATGGTGCTTTTCATAATTGTCTTTTGAAAATAATTACTAAACATAAATTGCTCAACCAGAACATCCCCACAGCGAAATAAAGTGAGCAGTACTGTTCTGTGTGTTAGAAAACTAAGTTCACTGGGGAAAACTTGACAGTAAAATAGATACTACTCGCTTAGAAACTGTTTAAAGAAATAGTGTCTTTGGAAGGCAAAAGATGCCACCCTAAACCCCACAAATACCAAGGAATAAGAAAAATATAAATAAATACAAAAAATAAATAATTACATGAAGTTTTGGATGTTTGGTTTCAGCTGTCACAAGCCAGTTTTCAATTTAAGTCTAATTTTTGTTACTCTCAAATTAATGTACTGTAAAATTACAGAGCCCGCGAGGGGACATGGGGGGATTTTTTTCTTTTGCGTTCCCACGCAATACCTTTGCGTTACCTCGCAATACTTTTGCGTTCCCTCACAATCCTTTTGCGTTACCTCGCAGTATTGTTTTGCGTTCCCACGCAAAAGTTTGATTTGTAAATGAACTGATATAATCAGACTTTTATTTTGAAATATCCAGTTACCAAAACAGGATGTGTCGCCACAAGTTCGTGAAATTGACATTGATGTTGTGTGGCTGCACTGTGTTAAAATATCGGCATATGACATACGTCCATGCGTGGCTATGTGATATACTGTATTCATTCTGAAGCTGAATTAAAGCAGTAGGCTAACTCGCTAATGGTGAACATGTGAGTTTGTTAATAAACCGGTAGGCACAACGGTGACAAACGACTTTTGTGAGGGAACACAATACTTTTGCGTGGGAACGCAAAAAGAAAAAAAAAATCCCCCATGTCCCCTCGCGGGCTCAGTATAAAATTGATACAACAAAAAATACTTTTATTGCAATTCACTTTTCAAACATGKTGCACTTGACAAAAAAATTCAGTAATAACTTCCTTCTGTGCTTAAGCAGTGAAAATGAACTTGAATAGGTTAAAACTGCCATTCCAGCTTTAACTGTCCTACAGTCTTATACAGTAGCATTTATATTATCAATAGAAAACCTCTTGAAGTATGCTGTGAAAAGTAAAATTCTCAAAGTCCTCTAAGTTCAGGAAAGCATAGGCAACTCTTCATTTCCTCTCCAGCTTTGCAGAGGGAGGCTTCAGATTGCTAGTGAGCCCACAGGGTCAGCCACAGAACAGGTTCTGATATGATAAACACTGTCTGGGGTCCTTGAGGGAGGCTGCTTAGGGTCGGAGACAATCCCAGATTGACAGAGACCTTGTCAGTCCCAAGTAGGACATGTAAATGTTAAAAAGATTAAAAACTCATCATCTTTTTAGACGCGTCTCCCTCCTTTTTTTCTTTCCACCAATCACTGCACCCTATGGAAAAACCCACAGAGGAGGCGACGAGGCAGTGGAGCACAGGCTATTGGCAGTGGAGATAATAGACAAAGGCAAATTGCATTTCTCATCAGAAGTTTCATTAACCCCAGGACCCGCATGGAGGGCATAATCTGTAACATTACCACTTCCTCACGTTTCTACCTTGCGCTTAGTTGAGTCACCGCACACCTTTCACAAAATAGATTAAAAAAAGGGAAGAAAAGAAAAAAGTGCCATGAGCTTGTTTCCAGCTTAGGCAGATACCACACTGACCATCTGATTTTACCCCTATTCACAGTTTGCAGTTCATTCAAACTCATGTATGGAGCTGAAGGTGTAACTGATAATTTGAACTGAACAACAAGAGCTTGATATGTCACAAATTTCCATTCTATGCATCCATACTTTCGCCTTTCCCGCTTTCTAATTTACCCCTATTCTCACTCCTGCACCTGGGAGACATTTTTAACCAGACTATTAGTCCAGAGTGGTGTGTGGGCTCGAGCGTATGAATATTTATAGCATACTGGAGAAGGTGTAGGAAGTACAACCTTGACTATGGCGTAATCAGCACACATACTTAGTCAGGGCATGATTTAGAAACAGTCGACCTGCTGAGAGCCTCACTCGATACCCAACTCTCGTGGACACACATAATCAATGTCTGCCTCATTAAGGTCATACCCTTTGAGAATTGGGCTGAACTTTGCAACATTTTTAACGAGATTCACATTCACATTCATCACACCTTGCTTTCCTATTCCTTAAAAAGAGCATGCTTAGGCATGATCAATCATACAAGTTGACTTTTGCTCACTTCTATAATACTTTGTGACCTTGGTATCTAACTTAAGCTGTGAGGTGACCTCTAATGGCACCGCTGTGATTCAACACCTTTTCTACTCCAGGTTCTCAATGCATAAAGCCACCTGGTCAGTCCTTTTGGTGTGTAATTAGAATTTGCTCAGTTCTTTGGCAAAGACAGGAATTTACGTCAAAGCGGTTAAAAAAGTCAAATGGTTTTTGATTGTGAAAAGTGGCTTATCATACTGCTTTTCTTTTAGACTCAATCAAAATTCAAATGAAAAAAACAATACTTTGTGTCATATTATAAAGCCTTTGGCAAGGTATAAATACAAGAACTTTTAAAAAAACACTTGCACATTAATTTGTGGTCTTAAAAAATTGGTGTTGAGCAGGACAAAAATTTTGCTCTTTATTTATTTCTACATTTCTGCCTGAAACATGGTTTAATATTTCACAGACAATAGAGTTCTACGAAATCCATTTTATATTTTTCCAAATTTCTAATTTTATTTTTTGAAAGTAACAATAAAATAATTCTTAAATATACTAAACTCAACGTGTGAAAAGGAATGCAAGGTCAAAATGAAGAATGGGATTTTATAAGGTTTAAAAACAGACAATGTAGAAACACTAACTCCTATAAAGTGCATTATATTTGGAAAGCTAATGCCTTAAACTTTAAAATTACGCCATTTATTATAGTTCAGAATTATGTTTTACGTTTTATTTTAATAGTTTAAAAACAAGTACCTTTTTAAAGCATAATTAATTGGCACCCACCAAATAAGTCTTTTCAATGGAGCTTTACTTAATATTTTCAATTGTCAGGTAGGTTTTTTTTCTGTTTTTTGGACAATTCTTGTACAACAATTTAAGAATTTTAAAAGCTTTTTCAGGGTCCTATAAAATCCGTTTTATTTTTTTTTCTCAAATTCCATTTATTTTTTTCCATTTATATTTTTAATCCAACTTTATTTTTCAAGCACTTTATGCACCACAGCAGACTAAAGTGTTGTACATCAACATTCAAACATGGCCCATTAAAAAATTAATTCAATCAAAAAAATACAGGAAAAACAAAAACAGGAAATGAAACAGGAAATAAAAACAGCAAAATGCCTGAAATCTAATTAATTTTCTCAATTCTGCTACTTCCACTTTTTCTGAACTCCACATTTTCATTCTAGCCATTGTTAGGCCTGTCACGATAACAAATTTTGCTGGGCGATTAATTGTCTCAAAATTTATTGCGATAAACGATAATATTGCCTGGTGACCGTTTTACAACTAATAATTATAAAAGCGTAATATGTAAGTGTAATAAATCAATAAACTTTCATTTTTAAAAGAAGAATGTTTAACAAAGTGGACTCTCAGCACTCAGTGCAAGAGCAGCATCTCTTTAGAGATGAAGCAAACTACACAGCCTGGTGAGGACCCACTGTTTC